GGCAGGAAACAACACAAATATTCAGTCCATAGCCATAAGTAAGTGGGAAAATAGAAACAAAACAAAAAGCATAAAAAGAACAAAATATGGTGGTAGAGGTATGAAAGTACTCTGATTTATTCATATGGTGGCATACCATTTAGTAGTCGAAATGAATGAAATTGATCTACAGATCTATGAAACTAAATGCTGACTGAAAACCTCAAGATGCTAGATGATAATTAGAATATGGCTCCATTTGTGTGACTATTCCCCACAAGAACAAGTCTGTGTTTTATCCGTGGATATTCAGTGGTCCATATATGGATATTCAATGGAATGAATGAAACACAGACACAAGGATTTGAAGAACAGACACTAGTTCATAATAGTAGAGGAAAGAAGGGGAAAGGGGTTGAGAGACTACAAAGAATATTCCATTGTATCTGGTATTATTTTTAACATCTACTATCTCACAGGCTCAGTGTCAAGAGTTAAGACACAGTGGGAGAAACAGACACGTTTACTGTCCTCATGGAACTAACAGTCTGAAGGGAAGTCAGATATTAATTAAATAATAAGTGATTGCTGTGATGTGCCCAGGAAGGGTGGTGGAGGAGAGGAGTGCAGAAGGGACAGGAAGGCAGCACCGTGGATGAAGAGACCAGCACATGCAAAAGCCTGAGAGCGGGAGTGGCATTTGTAAGAAGGCAATGGAGCTGCAGAGGAAATTGGGCCAGTCCACATAGGTCTGGAGACCAAAGGAAGGGACACAATCAGCAGAAAAGCATTGAGGGGCTTCACTGGGTCAGGGGAGAATAATCCAAGTTGCAAGTGTTAGACTACTCCCCATACACGGTAGAGGGAGGCTGGGAGCAGCTGCCAGGCAAGACGAGGCGTGCAGTCTGGAATAGTCTAGGATTGAGAAGGTGAAGGAGGGAAAAGCAAGAGGAGATGAAATTCCTTTGACAGAATTAAGAGATATTTACAGGTACATTCAAAAAGACTAGGTGATTGGCCATGAGGAGAGAGAGAGAGAGAGAAAGGCAAAGATGTGTCTCTTGCATATCTGTATGGACAGTTGTCATTTCGGAGAGAGAAGGAACCCTAGAAGAAGACCAGGTTTATGGAAAAGATTATGAATTTGGTTTTGGACAAGTTGAATTGAAAGTACCTTTGATTAAAGTGGAGACTCAGGGAAGCAATCAAATACAAAAGTTTTAAAACTACAGGAGGCAGTTGAAACCAGGGACATTGTTTAAAAGAGAGAATGTATGAAACTGATTGTTCAAAAGAGAGAAGGTGTGACATGGCTACCAGTTATTGAATATTTGCTCTGTGTGGGCTCTACACTAACCTTTAGCCTTATTATCTCTTTACACATGGGCACAAATGATGTCTCCAATGTTTTGAGGTCTTTGTTTGATTTAGTTTTTTTCTCCATAGGAGCCCACCTCCTAGTTCAAATTCCATACTGTGCATGGAGCTGGCATTTGTGGAATGATGACCAAGTCCTGTATGTAACTTCTGAAACCATCTAGAGCCATTCTTGGAGTATGCAGGGCAGAGTATTCTAGTTGAGATTTAAAAAAAGACCTGAGTGTGCAGAAGTAGATGGGACAGTATTGATAATACAACTGGACCACTGCAAGTTGAAGTGGCCCAAGGAAAGAAAACAGGAAAATTGGTGACTTTTCCATCTCCCCATTAATGGCTCTCCACATGTTCCATCCAAAAGATGACTCACTTGGTCCAATCCTCAGGAGCAAAGCACTGAAAGGGGAGAAGGAAGCTTCGTGTTTATTCCTGATTTATCAATGATATTACCAGAGGCTCTGGCTGAGGTTCTTGACTTTCTTGCATCCTATCTGTGAAAGGAAGATCTCACTTCCAACCCTCCAGGCATCATTTGGAAGCTGTTAGCTTTAGTAAATAAGAGACTTCCCTTGGCTAACTCATTCCCCATCCCTAGCGTTCAGTTTCTTTATCTACAGAAAGAGAAGCCTCAAACTTGATATTCTATTTCTTCTAAATGGGATAAGGTAAAGGGACCAGGGCAGGGAAACTTTTGAACTGAACTGATGATCTGTCTCTTCCACAAAAGACACAGAATCTGTGTTTGCAGCACCTATGAGGTTTGCCCGAGCTCTCCTTCCATGTTCGCTTTTCTCAGTGGTTTCCTGAGGCCTTTCAGGAAGGCTCTTGTTGATCTTAAAGATTTACAATTCAGACCACCTGAAAGAATTCCCTACATTCTGCTGGAAATCTCCCCTGCATTTGGTAGGATGGATAAAGAAATAAAGAAAATAAACTCCTGAAAGAAATGGAAAGGATTTTATTATCTACAAAAGACAATTTGTAAACTGGATGAGGATGCTACCGGGTCCATTTTATTATTGTCACTACTTGTTTTAGGCAGTTTTTTCACTGCCTTGATTAATAAAAGACCCAACCAGAACAACTGTAGAGGAGAAAAAGTTTATTTGGGGCTCACAGTTTCAGAGGTCTCAGTCCATAGACAGCTGGCTCCATTCCTCGAGGCTCAAGGTGAGGCAGGACATCATGGTGAAACATGGGGCAGAGGGAAGCACCTCACATGATGTCCAGAAAGCAGAGAGAGAGACCTCCACTAGCCAGATACAAATATATACTCCAAAGCCACGCCCCCAATGCCCCACCTCCTCCAGCCACACCCCACCTGCCTTCAGTTACCACTCACCTAATTAGGTGATTAATTCACTGATTGGATTAAGTCTCTCATAACCCAATTATTTCTTCTCTGAACCTTCTTGCATTGTTTCACTTGTGAGCTTTTGGGAAATACCTCATATCCAAGCCATAACACTACTTTTATGTACATGTGAGAATTTTCCTAATAAAAGTTTTTTGGTTTTTTTTAAGGAGCAGAAAATTGATTTTTGTATACCAGTTACTTTTAAACTTTTGTCAAAAAAAGACACACATATATATAAATGTGTGTGTGTGTGTATATATGTATGTGTGTATTTGTGTGTATATATATATGTATGTGTATATCTATATATGTATGTGTGTATATATATGTATGTGTGTATGTGTGTGTGTATATATATTAACAGAGACTAAAACCTGTATATATGCATATATATGTAGATTAAAGCAAAATTCTACAAAACATTTACCCTCTAAATACAATAAACTCCAATATTTTCTATATTCTTCCCTGTTAGTTATTTTTCTAAAAGATTCTTGGAACCTACTTAAATGATTTCAAGACTCATTCAGAGGTTATTGAGCCACAATTTGAAAAACACAGATAGATCTAAACAATGTCAAATCATTCTTGTGGTCCACTGACTATGTACCTGTTGACCAAGGTCAAGAGAAGAGGGATGACTGAGAGGAGAGAAAAAACAGTTATGCAGATTTCACCAGCTGTGTTGGAAAAGTCCGACCTTCATGTGGGGTCATGGTGTCATCAGGGCTTTGCAAAGCAAAAGAGCTTCACAAGCTGCCACTTTTGTACAAGGCTCAGCCACCCAATGTTCTTTCCGTGGGTTTGTTTGCTTCTAGAACTGCTGTCAGCCAGCGGTTACAACCTGGCCTGCTTCTGAGCAGCTTTGCCCTCTCTGGGGTTCATTTCTGGTCCTCGAGCATTTCTCCAACTTGCTTGAGTTATGAATTTACATTCTGTCCACTCATTCTCCTCTCAATCAATCCCCCACATGGCAACTGTCCCCCACACCCAATGTCATAGACAAAAGCAGCATCCATCCAAGAGGAGAAATAAGGACATGGCTGAGATTTGCTTAGCACTTAAATCCTATTAAAGCAAAGGTCACATTTGGTAAGCAAGGTGCAGACAAAAAGACTGATGTCTAGAAAAAGAAAAGTGCTGGGGCTGGGTCTGTGGCTCAGCGGTAGAGCGCCTGTGTAGCACGTGCAAGGCCCTGGGTTTGATCCTCAGCACCACATAAAAATAAATAAATAAAGGTATTGTGTCCAACTGCAACTAAAAAAATAAATATTAAAAAAAAGAAGAGCGCTAAGTATATTTAACTTCAGTATTTAAAAATGAAGTGTCAACTGCTCAGTACTTCAACAAATAAAAACGAGTCTCTGCTGGGGAGGAAAGTGAGAATTGAAGGATGACATCATTAATTCAAAAGACATGAAGAAAATACAGAAGAGACAACAACTTGATATACAATAAAATAACCTTTAATCATTTAAAATAATTTTTAAATGCATTATAAAAGGCTGCACATATCTAGGGGTTTTATATATGTGAAATTTTACTAACCAGAAACCCATGTACAATTGGATGAAGTGCTCTTTAAAAAGCTCATCTCCTCAGCTCATGAAATATTGCTGTTTGTGTTGACTGAAAGGACATTTCCGCTTCTCCAACTGTGAAAGCTGTGTTTCTTTTAATATTAAGGTTAATGAGGGCTGGGGCCCTGTAATCTACATGAGTAGGTTAATTCTCATGTGTCCTAGATAGTTGGGGGAGAAAGAGATTTAGAACTTCAGCTGAAGGGAAATATATACACTGCCAAACCGGATGAATGCATGGGAAGGGAGCAAGGAAGAGCTCTCTACAGAAGGAGCTCCGTACCTCCGTACCTTCTCCATCATCAAGTATAGATGCAGAACATCCCCCTCCCCTGTGCTTGAGTGGGAGAGGCCAGTTCACAGGCTTTAGACACTTTGCGGGGAAAGCAATTATATGATTGAAGTTTGATTATATTATCATGGTTAGCGGAGTTGCTGTGACATTGCTGGTAGGACACATATGTCTTTCAGAAGTGAAGATATGGCTTGAGTTGATCTCCTGTCCTGTTTCAAGGATATGAATATGCAAAACACTATTAAAAATGTCTTCATCTGCAAAGTTCAAAGTTTCAAAATATCGAATGAATGTCTTATTCAGTTAAATGAGACTATTTCAACTCACTTTATTAAAAATAACACATTTTGCCCAAAGACAAGAAAAAAATGTGGTCCCTATTCCCCTATTGTGACTTTCTTCCCCATTTCAGGCTGCCTTTGACCCTGGTATGATGGCAAAGGTGAGGAGAAGGAAGGCAAGAAGGCAAAGGAGATGGAAAAGGACGCCTGCTCATTCACCCTGTGGTAAGGTCTTCACCATACCTGCACATATTTACGTGCTTCTGTGTCCTAAGTAAAAGGTGATGTGTAGAATTATTTGGCATGCATTCATCCAGGATCTATCTGACTCTGCTAGACACTGTGTTAGAAAACCATGATATTTTTTTAGAAAAGTTTAATAAGAAAGAGATAAACAAAAAAATTATTTGAATTATGATTGGTATAAATTTCCAGAACAGACAAAACTAAGCTATGGTGACACACAGCATTGCCTGGGATGGAGGTGGAAAGAACTGAATTTGGAGGAATCAGAAGGAATTTGGGGATGATGGAATGTGCTCTATTTTGATTGGCAGGGTGGCTATTGGGTATACAGATTTGTTAACAATAATTGAATTACATGCTTCAAACAGGCACATTTTATTATACAAATTATACCTTAATAAAATTAAAACCAAAAAATCACATTTTATGTGCTGTGGGCCAACATAACATGGGAGGAGGAGTCAATATATGAGTACAACTTAGATGAGGAGTCTCTAGAAGGCTTCTCTGTGCTAAAGAGATTTTCTGCTTTGAGAAGGTTCAAGTTCATGGGAGGCTATTGTTTTAGGTTGAGCTCCTGCTGAGGCCCAACAGACCAGACTGGAGCAAAATGGAGTCACTCATGCTAGCGGCCACATAAGCAAACTGAACTTAGAAACAGGCCACTTTTCCAAAATTCAGAAGAGTCATAGTAACCAATCCAAAGGGGCCCAGTCAACCTGAGCCAGCATGATAACCAAGTCCCCTCTGCCTTAACCTGGAAGGAGGGTGGCTTTGAAATGACCAGTTCACTTTGTGTTCTACACTTCTGCTTTCTTGTCTGCCTGGGAAACCCACCTGCTTTTGTACCGTATGCTACTTGATTCACAATCACCTATAAAAGCCAATTATATCACGAAACTCAATTTATTTAAGTTTTGCTTTTTGACAGGAAAAAAGAAAGCCCACAAGGAGGGATGGGGATGTGGCCAGTGTTTGCCTAACTTGCACAAGGCTCTGGGTTCAATCCCCAATACTACCCAAAGTAGTATTGAGAAGACACAATGTGAAACAGCACTGAATGATTTTCTTGCTTTCTTGCAATAGAGGGCATAGTTCAACATTTTGATTATGACCAAATAAGTATTTTGACTTGTCCCTGGAAAGAAAGTATATGCAACCATACACTTTCTTGTTGGTTAGCATATAGTAGCTTATTTCTCGTTCAGCTTTCATGTCTGCAGGGGCCTCATATCATTCTCATCTGGTAGAGACCCATTCTGGAACTTTCATTTAACATGTGAGCATTGTTTGGGGATCCCACTCAAGTCTGGATGCTGGTGCAAGACAATGATAGCCATCGTTTCTTTTTGAGATGACGAACTTGTTCTAAAATTGTGGTGATGGCTGCACTCATCTATGAGTCCATCAAAAATTATTGAATTATGTACTCTAATTGTATGGTGTGTGAATTATATTTGATGATGATTCTCTTTTTTAAAAGTTAATGCAATTCTATGTGAGTCAGGTTAAGAGTTAAAAAACTGGGGCTGGGGTTGTGGCTCAGTGACAGAGCACTTGCCTAGCATGTGTGAAGCTCTGGGTTCGATCCTCAGCATCTCATAAAAATAAACAAATAAAATAAAGATATTGTGTCCATCTACAACTAAAAATATTTTTTAAAAAAGGAGTTAAGAAACTTTGGCAAAGATAAAACAAGGTCAATGGAATGAAACCCATTGTTTTGACTCTTTTAGCATTCTATCCACATGTTGAACCAAAAAAGATGAGTAACTTCAAACACATTTTGTATTTCATTCATATGCCAAAGAAAAACAAAATTTCCATGCCCCCAAAAAGAGGAATAAAATTGCCCAATAATTGACTTCCATTTTTGATAACATGGCAATTTGGATATCCTAAACAACCCTCTTAACTGAAATGAAAGTTCTGGATGGCTTATATTATTTTAAATATATACTTTAGCTAGCATAAAATCACCTCAGAGCCTTAAAGCAAAGTGAAATTTGGAGAAGGTGAGTATCCAAAGATGAAGATGACAAATTAGGCTAGGTGAATCTTGTTGGTTAGCATACAGTGGCTTATTTCTCATTTAGCTTTCATGTCTGCTGGGGCCTCATGTCATTCTAATTCAATAGGGACCCGTTCTGGTGGAACTTTCATTTAACATGTGAGCATTGTTTGGGGATGTAGCTCAGTGGTAGAGCAACTCCATAGTATGTGTTGGCCGTGAGTTCCAACCCTAACCCCATGAAAAACAAAAAGGAGTGTTACATTGCAATGCATTTTTTTTATTCTATCATGCTTCTTTCTCTAAAGTTTGGATATAATTTTATTTTTTATATTCTCCCTATTTATATTTGGAGTAAACACTCATCAAATTTTTCCTCCTGAATCCCTCATCCCTACCAACCTACGGTTTTCTTTTTAAAAACCGGAATCCTTATAACCATAGTTCAGTGAAGGAACTCCCTTTTATGTATTAAAATCAAACTAGTTATTATAACACAATGGAATTGACACTCCAGGGTAGTGGATATAAAAGAGAATGTGGATACCCTTTACTGTAAGATTTAAACTGTTTTAAAATAAATTCCTCCAACTTGAGAGTAGACTCAAAGTGGTATGAAAAGTGCTTCCTACACGAAGAATTCAGAAAGCCAGTTCAAATTTAAAAACAAGACCCTATAAGATCATAGTAATTATTAATTGAATTCCTCTTTAAGCCCCATATCATGACATCATTGTTTCCCATACTTCATGAAATAATTTCAGCCAGTCTCTTCTTTGGAAGATGAGGGGGGAATCTAACTCCACATTCTTGACTTTTAGTGTACATGTGTCCCAAATTTTCTAGTTTCTAGATTAAGTTTGTTCACTTAGGTTCTCTGCTCATTAAAACCTTTTGGACTCAAATGCCAAAATTCACTTCTTTTATGTTATTAAATGTCTTGCTTTGTTCACTTTTAAATGGAAAAATACATTACACTGTAGACTATATATTATAAACTTATCACGAGCGTCCTTCTTAATTACTCTGTATTGTTCATCCCCTTTAGAAGTAGTAGGCAGTTGGTTTAACTATGATGTCTTTGTTGCAATTCAGATTAACATTTACAAATCATGCTTTGAGGAATATTTTTGTATATAAATTTTTGTTGTATTTTCCCAAATTTAGATTCTTGTGTATGGAATTACTGGGTCAAAGAATATAAATATTTTTAAAGTCTTCAAATGCTTTGCCACTTTTTTTTCTCAAAAATATTAGGTCAGTCATACTGCCATTAGCTTTCTGTACCTCATCAACACTGGAAATAAAATATGCTTGTTATTTATAATGTTTACTAATTTGAGTCACCTTCTTTAAACATCATTTCAGTGGGCCACTGCTCTTCTCAGGAAATGTCTCAGTAAAAAACACGCTCTCTTGTGTCAAATCCAAATTTCCATAGTTGTCTTTCAAGTTTTTGTATGATATGTACACACGTGACATATAGCTGTGTGTATAAGGTAACATATGTGATAAATGCACAATATATAAATATAATGATATCAATAATGATAGAAAGATCATAGGTTAAGATCCTACTATTTGCCATGGCCTGAGTATGGTACAATTTTATCCCATCTAACTCTCATTACAACTTTGGAGGTGGACGTACTATCATTGTGTATTATAGACCACAGTAGAGCCTCCCTGTATCTCCAAACCCATACTCTTTTTAAAATTATTTTTTAGTTGTTGTTGGATTTTTATTTTTTTGTATTTATATGTAGTGCAGAGAATCAAACCCAGTGCCTTAGACATGCTAGGCAAAGGCTCTAGCACTGAGCTACAACCCCAGCCCCAAACCCATACTCTTGCTCTCACACAACCTGGTGCAAATTTACCTGATGGCTACTTCCCAACACACATCTCCTGCTCTAGCAACTTCTCCCAACCATCTTTCTGATCTTAAAACCTCCATCTCTGCTCATTCAGTCTCCCTCTCTTCTTCCCTTAGCCATTATTTTCTTTTTCAGTCCTGGGATTAAACACTGGGCCTCACTCATGCTAGGTAAATGCTATAGCCATATTCACAGTCCACCCTTAGCCACTTTTCAAGACCCAGTAGCCCTTGCTTTATATAAGACTAGAGCTGTATTTGACTACCTAGAAATTTGAGTTTCTTCGAAAACCAGTTTTCTTCCCTTCCCCTATCAAACCATCTGGCACATCCTGTCATTGTTGCTTGTGAAACCCATCTAAACTCTGCCCACACATCTCTGTACAATTCTCTGTATCGTCACAGTGTCCTTAGCTTCAAGCCAAAGCATCTTACTTTGCATCAAAGAGGCCCCAGTGATTTAGTGGCCTTCATAATCTCTACACGACACCTAGAATGAGCCTTTAAAACATGAGTTAGCTGGGTACAGTAGCACATGCCTATAATTTCAGAGGTTCAGGAGGCCGAGGCAAAAGGATAACAAGCTCAAGGCCAGCTTCAGAAACTTAGTGACACTCTGTCTCAAAAAAAAAAAAAAAAAGTCTGGGGATGTAGATCAGTGGTAGAGTGCCCCTATCAAAAACAAGTAAATTAAATTAATGATTTATCTTAACAATGATGATTTATTTTAATAACAACAGAATGCAAATAATCCAATTTTAAAGTGGACAAATTATCTGAAAAGACTTTTCTCAAAAGAAATACCAATGGCCAACGAATATATGAACAAATATTCTCAGAGTAAATCAAATTTCACGCATGTATGATTTTGTCAAAATGAACTCAACTACTATGTTTAACTATAATGCTCTAATAAAATATTTTAAATGCTCTCAATATCATTAGCCATGAGGGAAATGCGTATCAAACCACAATGAGATAACATCTCACTCCTATTAGAATGACTATTATGAAACGATTATAATAACTACAACAAGTGCTGCCAAAGATGTGGAGGAAAAGAACACTACAGGTGGAAATGAAAATTACTAT